TTTTTTTCCACTTTTCTTTTCTTTCTCGCGGTATAAGTGTGACACACATGTGAGCAACCAAATCATGAAGCCCTAAATGGGGGATATTCAGTTGGCATAAAATTTGCGTAGTTCCGGGGAGTTAAAGGCAGCGGATCTGCAGAATGATAAATTTGGGATATTCATCGTTCTCATCCCCCCTAGGTTAGCTAAGTTCAAAACTTTGCTTTGCAGCTTTAAAAGATATCAACAATCCGCTTTTCCAGATGTGGAAAGTGTATTTGGGCGGGCCGCGTATATACCCCTGCCCTCTAGAGTGCGATTGGCTCGTGAGTGGAGATGCCTTACCCCCGTATCTACGAGGCAATCGCGCTTTAGAAAGCAGGCATATGCGGCCCGCTCAAATAGCACTTTTTATTCTAAAAAAGCGGGTTACTGATATCTTTTGAAGCTGAAGCACAGTCTTGACTTAGCGCTTCTAGGGGAACGGAGAACGAATGAATATTTCAAATATATCATTCTGCCGAGCCGCTGCTATTGATATTATCAAAATCGAGCGATTTCAGCGTTTCGGTCTCAATTTCATTGTGATTGGTTTTTTTCAGACCTGACTTTTCGATGTTTTCTTCGTTGACCCCTACTGGTTCGGCCCCGAACTCAGCCGGGATCTTAGCCGCAGCCGTTGCCCAATGTGCTCCTTCGACAAGTGGAGGATTGCTGGCTCCACCACCTCAGGCTACTACTTTGAGCCCTATACATTCCCCGAGAAGTAAAGAGCAACAACAGCACGCTACTTTGGAGTGAGTAGTCGCCTTGATCTTTGTTTACAAATGATAGAAAAATCAAGAAAATTTTATAGGAAGAGGTCGCCCGGTGAAACCGAGGGCGTTGCATCTTCACAAGCCCATTTGCTTTCTGCACTTCATTCGGCATCTTCTGCCACAGCCGCTGGTGGTGTCGATCCTGCCGGTTGGGATCCACGTGATGTGAAGCCTGCAGTCAGCAAGCACGTGAGTGGTACCTGCTTTTTTTAGAGCTATTTTTTATGAGAATTTTTTTCTATTGACGTTTTATAGTCCATTCTTTCGAGTTTTTAGTACAAACCGCATACCTTTAATGGACCGCAATGGTTTGCGTATTTATAGAATACGACTGCCTATTACGAACAAGAAGATAATTTGATGCCATCATCGAATTGCGGCGGGCTCCCCCCAGGAGGTGCTCCCGGCACCTCTCATCTCCTGTCCTTGGATGATCGTGCTTCTTCGAAAAGGTTGCGAGAAAGATCATTTCGTGGTTCACTGTGCAATGGCTATTTTTTAGCTCGGAAAGTACACCCGCTCATACCCCTGGCAGAGGACGTGGACGGGGACGTACATCCTTGGCGCCTGATATGCCTCCAGATGAAAGAAAGTATGCGGAGGAGTTTTTCCTTTTTTACAATTTTCTCGTGCTTCAATCGCGTCTGATACATAGTTGTTGGAAAGTTCCAGAATGACCATACTTGAACGAAATAAGGCGGCTGCTGTGCGTTACCGAAAACGAAAGAAGGAGGAACATGATGATATGATCACTCGTGTGCACACATTAGAGCAAGAAAAAGTACAACTTAATGTAAGTTTTTGTTCGATTCAGTTGTATCAGTGCTTTCTCAAAGTCGCTTGTTTAACTGTTTGTGGGTAAACTTTCTATTTTCTGTATGTTCGAACCGCAAGATGATCGATATATATTGATAATTTTTGGTTTTTGTTCAAATGCATTGAACACTCATAATTATATCCCACAAATACAAATTTTTGCAATTTTTATTTTTATCTCTGCTTTCAGACGCAGAATCAAGTGCTTCGACGTGAACTTGATCGGTTAACAGCTTTACTCCGAGAGCGGGAAGCTCGCTGCGTGTGCTTGAAAGGAATGCCATTAAGTACGGATCCGAGGGCCGAATCTCCGGTGGATGTAAGTTGAGATTTTCTCAATTGCGCTTTCTTGCTTGTTTCTTTCTTTTCTTAAAAGGCAGCGCTTAGGCAAATCTGGACCTAAGGGGATTTTTTATGTGGAAACTAATTTTGAGGCCCTAACTAAGATACTGCCCAAACGGCAGCGCTAAAGGTTAACTCGCCGCTGAGATATTCGCCTCCATACGGGTAGCTTTATGT